CTGATTATTAATGAAGTTGGGCACCTGGGTTTTCAGCATAGAATGTCTTCATGTTATCCTTGAATGTGGACCAAGGTAGCCAGGTCACAAGTAGTTGGTCTTTCCACAAATTCTTGCTCTGCTTTCTGATACTTGTGATCTTATCTGGACCACTGGACAAATGTTGAATGTTTTGTCTGTGTGATGGTAGGTGTTGGCCTGAGCAGAGGCTGCCAGTTCTCTACCAGCTGCAGATGATACAATATGGGACATTATCTGTCATAGTTACAGTGTGGATTCTGGAGCCAGATTGCCTGAATCTAAATACCAGCTTTGAACCTTTCTAGTTGTAAAATCTTGGCAAGGTTTTAAAATCTGGGCCTAATTTTTAAATTTGTAAAATGTGGATTAATAATGGTAGATACACCAAAAATGTTGTTGTGAGGATTTAACACATGTAAAATATTTAAAACAATACCTGGTATGTAGTAAGTCCTCAATAAATGTTATCTATTAGTATTTCTATAAGGATAGTGTTACCATTATTACTCCACTCTAATCCTGACTCCTGTTCAGTGTAAATACCCTCAAGGTTCTAGCTGCAACCAACCCTGGACTGACTTTCCTTGACCCCATGGTGCCATCTGCCATGGGGGCCTGCCCTGGTCAAAACCTACCCATAGGCCAGGCATGGTGGCCCACACCTGTAATCCCAGCACTTTGGGAGGCCGAGGCAGGCGGATCACCTGAGGTCAGGAGTTAGAGACCAGCCTAGCCAACATGGCAAAACCCTGTCTCTACTAAAAATACAAAAAAATTAGCCAGGCATGGTGGCGCACACCTGTAATTCCAGCTACTCGGAAGGCTGAGGCTGGAGAATCACTTGAACCTGGGAGGCAGAGGTTGCGGTGAGCTGAGATTGCACCACTGCCCTCCAGCCTGAGTGACAGAGTATGAGACTCCATCTCAAATAAACAAAACAAAACAGAAAACCCACCCATAAACTACTGGAGCATCACTGAGTTACTATGGCACCAAAAATGTAAGGGAGTTAAGGAAAGGGCAGTGAAGTGGGCATTGGGATGCTTGAGTTCAAGGGTTTGTCTTGCCACACAACTGCAACATCACCTTAATCTTCTCTGGGCTTTTATTTTGTTTTACTATTTTATTGAGGTAGAATTTTATACTAAAATACACGAATCTTAAGTGCACAATTCTTAACTTTGTATACACTGTACGATCACCATTAAGTTCAAACCTATGATTCCAGAAGGCTTCCTCATTTGTCCTCTTGGTCATACCTCCACCCAAAGGTAAGGATTGTTTTGACCACTCTCACCACTGATGAGTTTCATCTGAGCCTGTATTTCTGTCTGCAGATGATGAAGCTGGACTGGGTTTCTTTAGGCCCAACACTCCCAGCTCTGACAATCTGCTTATCTCTAATTCCTTTGTTTTGAAATTCAGTTGGCCTGGGAAACTGTGAATTTGTGCTTGCCAGGAATGCTAGGAACTGCCTTTGTAAATAAGCTTCTTGATGTGAAGCTGCAGCAAGTCTCAAAGACTTGGGTCTCCCTTCCCCATCCCCCAAAGCCACAGAACATGCAGCTGGGCTGTACAGGGAGCACTTGGTGTCCGGGTGACCTTTCACGCCAGGCTGTGCTCAGATGCACAACTGTCAGTGCTGTGTAGGGAGGTTTGGGACCAGTCTCAGATTATACACATTTCCCAGGAAGGGGTAGGGATGCTGCTATGGTAGGACTCTGTTGAGGCTGTGGCCTGCCCACTGAGCTGGGAGAGCTGGAAAGGACAAGGTTATCCTGGGGATGGGCTGTGTATTCCCAACCTGAGCTCCTACATCCACCCATGATAAATGCAGGGGTAGGGGTTGAGTGAAGGGTAAGGGGATGCTGTCTGGCAAGACTTCCCAAAGGCATCTTCCAGACTGCAAGAAGTTCACTGCTCATGGAAGAGTAAGAAAAGGGGTACTCTAAGATGTGCTACCTGAGGATGAAGTCAGGGTACATCTCAGAAGGAGACTGTGGAAAGGTGAGGACCCCAAAGATCCTCTGAATCCTGCAGACTTGGCCCAAATCAAACATTCAACATGCATTTTCAGGAATGTCACCCCCTCCTACTGGCAGCTCTCAGCAAAATCTTTCTTGTTACCATGGCCACATAGGACAAGGAGAGCTTTGGGAAAGTCATGCATATGGGGATGGAACTGTCACATGCCATTGTGCAGGTTGTGCACTGTACAACTGCAGGAGATGGAGGTGGCACTTCACATTGTTGCCTGGGGAATATAAAGCAACGCAGGGTAATGGTGTTTCTGACCTCTTCTATGGAACCTTACATATTCATCCCTAAACATCACACTTGATAGGAAGCCTGAAAATGCTGAAAGACAATTTCTGAGGCAATATACAGTGATTAAGAACCAGACTATATGGGTTTAAATCCCAGCCATGCCACTTACTAACTGAGTCTCTTAGGTGAGTGTCTCCTCATGCTTCAATTTTGTTGCCTGGAATGAAATTGGCTGGTGGTTGGTGGCCCCTTGACTTGTAGCAGCATAAGAGAGAATATAGTAGTGCCAACTTTGCAGAGTTGTTATAAGGGTTAAATAAATCAATGCACATAAAGTGTTTAGAGAACAAAACCTGATACACAGTCATTGCTTACTAAATGTTGGCTATTGTTATTATTACCAGATTGGTAAAGACACTCGAGACTGTGTCCTTGAATTAATAGAATAGGAATTGTTTAGCTTAAAAAGAGAACAGATTTAAGGGGGACGTTAAAACTCCTTCCAAATTATAAAGACGCAGAGTTTTGGCTGAGCATGAGGAAACTCTTCCCAATCATTGGCTCAGGTTATTTTGACATCTCTGTCATCAGCACTGAGCCATGTTTGGCAGGCTCTGGGGACATTCTGAAGGATTTTTATATCATGTAGGCTCTTAAGGTAAGGAATTCCTAAGGGCTCTTGCACCCTGGAATTGTATGACTTTTTAATTCATTACCTTGTCCAAATCAAGGTAATGGCTCATAGCAGCATAACTCTACCCTTCACATGACATTCTCCGTGTGTGTCTGTGTCCATAGTGCTCCTTTTCAATGAACAGCATTCATGTGCCAGATACCGTTCTTGGCCCTGGGAAACAGGGATGAACCAGAAAAAAGTGACTGTCCTTATGAAGCTACATTCTGGTGCTAGAAACAGACTATTCTCTATTTTCTAATCTTCAAATCTTCACCACAGCCAAGATTTGAATTTGTTTCTCTCTTGAGCATTACATATGGGCAACATTTGAGCTTCATGACTTGGATTTCAGCCAGCAATGGCCAAGAATGGTGAAAGTGTAGGAAGCGCAAGAAGGCAGGACTGCAGGCTGGCCCCGTTCATCTTGCTGACTTTGTAAGATGGTTAAGCAGGTACTGAGTGCATTTGAGGAACTGAGTATCTGTAGGCATTTTCTAAAGAAAAATGTTAAAATAATATGGAGAGATTAAACGCAAAAGTGGTTCGTGTCCTATGGGGAAATAAAATTATAGCTTTTCATGTGATCTTTTCTACACAGACAGAAATCTAGGAGTTAGCGTACAACTTCATAGTGTCTGAGTGAGAACCAAAAGGTAAATAGCAAAGTCAAACATGAGTACATTCTCTTGGAAAATTATATACTCTTGGGTGTGCCCGTTAATGTCTTAGGATAATATTAAAACGACAGGCCACCTCCCCTCTTTGTTTTTGCCTTATTTCTAGGTTTCAGGTATTTTTCTTACTCTTTTCACAAAGTTTTTTGAAGGTTGAGGGACACTCTAGGCCACTAGTGACTCAGTGACTCTTATGGGTCACAGTTTGACCATGTGACCTTTTCCCCTGCAGAAGTTTCCTGGGGCTGCCATAACAAAGTACCACAAGCTGCATGGCTTAAACAACAGAACATGTCTCACAATTCTGCAGCTTAGAAGTTTGAGATTGGTCTCAGTAGGGCCAAGCTCCCTCTGAAGGCCTAGGAAAGATTTTACTCCAGGCTCTTTCCTAACTTCTGCCGGTCCCTTGGCTTGTAGCAGCTTAACATCATACTTCTCATGGCATTATCAGTCTGTGTGTCTGTGTACAAATTGCCCCTTTTTCTAAGGACACTACTCATGTTGGATTAAGGGGTCCATTCTACTTCTGTGTGACCTCATGCACACGTAATTATATCTGCAATGACTCTATTTCCAAATAAGATTATATTATGAGGTACTGGGGGTTAGGACTTTCACATATGAATTTTGGGGTGACAATCCAACCTGGGTCACCTCCAAGTGGAAATGGAAACCTGACTCTCACTTTCTAGGCCAAAAAGTGTCTCCTATCACTTCCTCTCTCATTTCATTGGCCAGACCTGGTAACATGGTCCTGCCTGACTCAGAGGGGTAGCAAGTTGTGGTTTTTCTGTGTGTCCAGGTCTTGTCTTTGTCACAAGAACTTAGATATTTTCTAAATCAATGTTACCTCTGACAAATAAAAAATAATAAGAAGAAGAAAATGGCATCTGGGATGTGAACTGACTTGCCTGAAGTCACACTGCAAGTTACTGGCAAAGATGGGACTAGGAAGGATGCCAGTATTTTGACTTCCAGTTTCTCCTTCATTGTTTCATTCATTCATTCATCAAACATATGATAGATTGTCTTTTATGAAGTCCTCATATTTTGGAAAGTTTCATTTTCCTTGAAGAAGAAGCTTGGTCTGGCAATAAAAAACAAAACTGACAAGTGGAACCTAAAGAATTTCTGCATAGCAAAAGAAACTATTAACAGAGTAAACAGACAACATACAGGATGGGAGCAAATATTCACAAACTATGCATCTGATAAAGCTCTGCGATCCAGAATCTATAAGGAACTTAAATCAACAAGCAAAAACAAATACCCCATTAAGAATGGGCAAAGGACATGAGCAGACAGTCCTCAAAGGAAGACATACAAGCAGCCAACAAACAATGAAAAAATGCTCATCATTACTAATCATCACAGAAATGCAAATCAAAACCACCATGAGATACCATCTCCCACCAGTCAAAATGGCTATGATTAAAAAGCGATAGGAAGAGTTTTGTGGAGCAACTTATAGTGGGATCCAGTGGGGCCCAAAAATATTGGAGACCCAAAGACATCTTGGGCCGGACAAAGGGACAGGTTTCACATCTGTGTTTAAACCTTTTGAGAGACTGTGCTTCAATGCCATTGAAAAAGTTCACTCTGTTGTCGTTGTGATATTCTCAGGTCTCAGAGAAGGCCTTGGATAGGAGAAAATAGAGTGTAACTAATCCAATTAGTGAGGTGAAGCTGCTGAGAACCACGCTAATTAGTTAATGCGTAAACATAACCATTTTATTTAAATTAGCAGCAAATTTCAAGCAATCCTCAGAATAACTGAGAATATTAGCCCTGATTAGTGTAACAGCCTGGAAAATTTCTTCTGGTGGGAAACATACAATAGTGGGGTCTCCCCACCAGGTCTTTATTCAGTCAATCACTCATTCATTTGTTCATCCAATAAACATGTGTTGAGTATTATTTTATGCCAAGCATTATAAGACAAAAAGGCAGCTTTGCCCAAGTCCCTGCCCTGGAGGAGTTCCTGTCTGGAGAGGGAGGTAGGAACTTAGATGATCACAGTTTATACAATGAAATCTTGCAACCTACTGCTCCACACTCCCTTCCCACTAGCCCACAAAAAGAGAGAGCAGGAATAAAACCAGGTCTGGGGATCTCTCCCGTTCTTTCTGCCTAAATTTATTAGACAGTAAAAGATATGGGGGTTTCGGGGGAGTGCTCTTTCTATGGAAAGGTAAATTCTTGGTTATAGGAGAAGAAAGATGAAAGCGACTTTAATTCCTTCTGATGTTTTTGAAATACTAAAGCTGCCACGTTTATGCTTCAGGAAGTGCTTTGACTCAAGGTTTAAAGATTAGAGTTGAGATGAAAGAAGTACTCTATTTTAAGCTGGAGATGAATTCCATGAAGCCATCACCTCTCCCCTGCGTGGTATTGGCCCCAGTGTCTGCAGGGGCATTAAAGACCTCTCATGGATTGTGCTTGCACCCCCAGACCTTTCACGTCACATCTCAGAGACAATTGCAAAAGTTTTCCTTTGTGAGCCAAGAATTTAAATGTCTAGCCACTACTCTGTGGCCTTTGGCAAATTTCTCCAGTTTTCTATGATTTTTGTCTGTAAATAAATAAGAATACCAGGCACTGGGTGGCTGTGCAGTTTGGAAAAAGCCCTGAGTTTATTTCTTGGCTTTACCATTATGAAGTTGTGCCCTCCGTGACTCTGTGGCGTGTGGTTCCATTGCTCAGGCGCCTGCTGGTGAATGGTATTGGGAGCCCTGACAGGGTAGTGTTCGGGGGAGCCTCACACACTCCTGCAGCTTTGCCTGGTCACCTCCAGCTTTGCATTATTTAGGGGCTAATCCAGATAGGGTTAATTGGGTCTCTGTACTTATTGTCCTCTGAGCTGTCACCTCGCCTGGTTCCAGGGACCACCGTTCACATCAGTACAGGGTGATGTGGGGACTGGCCCTGTGAGGCTCTCAGCTTCTGCTTGCCGCACGTTCCGTTTCTCGGTGCAGGGTGGTTGTTTGAGGGGGTGTTCTTTGCTCCAGAGGACCCAGGGCATTGGTGGATGTGCAATGTGGTAGAAAGAGTGCAGACAAGAGATCAGATAAGGGTTGGGGTCCAGGCCCCGTTCTGCCCGTACCACATGTGTGACAGGGGCAAGTGATCTGATCTTTCTAACCTCAGTTAGGTTCATAATCTGTAAAACTGGGATGTAACTTGCACATCACTGAAGTATTGTGAGGGATGTGATGGCCTGTATGCCATGGTGCCTGGCCCAGTGCCCCGCATGTGATGGTGATGGTAGGTGTTACTATGCCTCACCCAAGAGCAAACACTCCACGGGTGAAGAAAGGGGACATTGGAGGCTAAGAGTTGGGCTGAACACCTGCGGTTATCCCCACTCCAGTGTCCCTGGGCTGGGGTGGCTCCCTTCATTCCAGCAGCCCTTTGAGAATCCATGAAGACCCCATGCCTAACGTATCCTTGCCTGTGTTCCGGAGCTCAGGAACGTGCTCTTCCGACTGTCTGCTCATGGGTAAGTGATGACGGAGTGAGTTTCAATAATCCAGCCTGTAGTCTCACTCCTTCCTGATGATCCCACTGAAAGGACGTGAACGGACCTTGCTAGGTTAACCAGGCTGTGAATCTCAGCTCTGCCACTGGTTGGCTTGTGACCTGGGACAGAATATGTAATTTCTCTTTACCTCAAGTATCTATAACTTGAAGTTTAGTTCATAGGAAATACCATATAACTGTGGGTTATATTATTTTTATGTCTTAATATATAATATTTATATATGTGTTTATGCATTTACTTCTGTATGTACACACACACACACACACACACACATACACACACATAATTAGTATGTGTCCGTCTCTGCTGGACACTTTCAGTATGTCAGTTGATGTAATCTCAAAACCACCTGACAGCTTATCCTCATTTGGCTCAAACATGTAAAGATGTCCCTAGGTCCCACCACCAATAGTTGAGTGTGTAAGCCATAAGTCCTAGAACATGATTATAGGTTTTACTGTGTCACAGCCAGAAGCAACTGCTCCCATGGTGAAGGCTGGGAAGAGGAGGGCTAGCATCCAGCAGCCCTGCTTTCTCCAGCAGCACTGCCTCCTTAGATTCCACGGCCTCCACAGGGCATGGCCCAAAGGACTTTCACAGCTGCCTACTGGAACCTGCCTGCAGTTATCCCTGATTCTCAGGCCACCCAGAGCTGGTGCCCATTCTCTGGGTGAGGTGAGCACCCAGCCGGCTTCCCACCCTGTGTTTAGAAAGAACCTTATTTCCATTTCTCTTTTCGGAGTTGCAAAAGAGAGGCAGACCAGCCATCTCCTGCCTGGACACATCAGCTCAGTGTGGGGTGCAGGCAGACAGGGAGGGAGCCCACGGATGTTATAGGCACACAGATGTTAGTGCCGCAGTGCTAACCTTCTCTGCACCAAGTGATGGTGAACTCTGGGCTGCTCCTGCAGCTTCCATGCTAAAAAAAGGAGCTGCTTGATTTGTTATTCATTCCACACGATATGTTTTTCACTTCATGTCCAAACTCCGCAATTAGAGTTGTAAACCGTGAGTTTTGCATGACTTTTATTAAGCTCCTGCAGACTGGGAAGAAGCAGTCATTAGCAGCTCCACAGTGGGCCCATGTTCAGACTCACTAACGAGAGATGGACTGAGTCTCTTGCCCTCCACCCACCATTCTTTGGAGAGTCTTGCTTCCCAGGCCTCTCTGGCCTTGGGGACAGGTCACCAAGCCCAGTGACAGAGGAGCTGATTTTAGATCCCGCCTTGGCTCTGTGCTCTCTGACAAGTCACGTTACCTCTTTGAGCCTTCCTGATCAGTAAAATGGGGGCGGGTGCTGTTAAATAAAGTAACAAACCTGCATGTGCCTAGCACCAAATCAGGCACAGAACTGGGCTCAGTGATATTGGTCTCTTGTTCAAACTGGAGAAATCTCTCAACAAACATTCATGATTATTAAAGGTAGCTTGCATTTGTTGCTTACTGTTTCTAGGTGCTTTGTGAATGTAAGCTCGGTTAATACTCTCAAAGGCCCTTTGAAGTAGGCACTGCTATTATCCAGTCTTTACAGGTGAGAAAACTGGGGCTTAAGGCAGGTATGTAACTTGCTCAAGGTTACACAATTACTGAGTGGTAGAACCTGGTTTGGAACCCAGGTTGCCTAACTTCAGACCCCATGCTCAGAGCCATGACTCAATACTGTCTCCCTGGTTTAGTTAACACGTGGCTCCCGCTCTCAGGAAGTTCTCTAGACAGAGACAGGACAATAAGCCATCACAGGGTGGTGTGATGCCAGCTGGGCACACAGGCAATGTGCAGTGCACACTTGCTAATGAGTGAAGGTTGCAGTGAGAATATGGGATGGACTTCCTGGTTAGTCAACTACCCAGGCATACTCTTCTCCTTAGGATCTCAAGGAAAACTGAATCTAATTTGCAGTTTTCTCCCTGACAGTACTGACAGCAGGTTTCTAAGATTTGGTTGGAGGAGATTTGAAAACATCACTCAATCAGTGCTACCCTTCCCCATCCACCCTGGGCTTGGTCACAGGCTGCAGGCTACAGGCTCATAAGCTCCCTCCTGGCTTGTGAGGGCTGTCTACACACGCCTCCTGCCTTTAAGGTTCTCCACTTTCTCTGAGGAATTGAGGTACCCATCTCCCCACTGGGAGATACCTAATCTCAGCATTCCAGGGCCTGAGCATTAGAGCCAAAGCCCCCCACTTCCCTTCTTCCCTTTCTCATCCCTCAAGCCTCAGCCCAAAGCCTACTTCTTTAGGGCAGTGTTTCCTGATTATCCCATCTAAGGTGCCCTTACTTGTTATTCTTAGATCTCTGTACCTTGTCTGATTTTTTTACAGCTCTTGGATTTGGTGATTATTTGTGAATTGTTACACCTGATGGTCTTTCTCCACCACTAGATGGTGAGTTCCTCCAGGGCGAGGCCTTTGTTTTATTCTCCAGGTGGCCCCTTGTTCCTAGTGCACCACCTGGCACAGGGAAGCCACTCAATGCACCTCTGTTTCCTAAATGAATGTTAAGAAAGTTGTTGATTTTTTTATGTAAATGAAGGCTTAGCCAGTCTTCCACACAGAGCTCTCCTAGCAGCCTGCACAGACACACAGCCCTTGAAAATTCCCAGCCTTAATCTCCAGCCTGTTTTTTCACCTGTAAAATGGGGTTAAAGCCATCTACCTTGTAGAGGCTTCGTGAAGATTAAGGGGAGGGATACAGTTGACCCTTGAACAACATGGGTTGGAACTACGTGGATCCACTTAGATACAAATTTTCTTCTGCCTCTGCCACAGCAAGACAGCCCCTCCTCTTCCTCCTCCTCTGCCTGCTGAGCACGAAGATGCCCTCCACCCACCATTCTTTGGAGAGTGAAGAAATTTATGATGGTTCATTTCCGCTTAGGAAATAGTAACTGTATTTTCTCATTTTGAAATTTCTTATTTCTATTTTCTTTTCTTTAGCTTACTTTATTGTAAGAATTTTGTATATAATACACATAAAACACAAAATATGTGTTAACTGTTTATGTTATCAGTAAGGCTTCTGGTCAACAGTAGGCTGTTAGCAGTTGTTTCGGGGGAGTCAAAAGTTATACGTGGATTTCCAATGGCATGGGGAGTCAGCACCCCAACCCCTACATTGTTCAGGATCAGCAGAAAATAGGATGCTTGGCACCAAGGCTGGCACACATGAAACCCTCAATCAACCAGGTAATCGCTGTTATTCTAGTATTAGTATTAGTTATTATTAGTCAAGATAAGAGCTGGCAGAATCTGTATCTGTTTATCACATTCAGTATCTTTGTATGGAGACCTGGGATGGGAGCTTGAGAGATGTGCCCTCCCCTACCGGGATAGAAGCCAGCTCCTGGTTATCTTTCTTGATGATGGACCAGTTGCTATGGGCACAGGTTGGGAAAGAGCAGGGGACACCTCCTTCTGTTAGTGTCTCTCCTGCCACCAAGTCATGCTAGCACATGATGCTGACCTGCCTTTCCATTTGACTCAAGCCCCAGGCAGGAAACATGTAAACTCCTCAGACTCCAAGGATTGGCAGGGCTGCTTTCACTAACACTTCCCCTTTCAGCTTTCTATAATTCATTCCCCCATTCAAGATGGTCTTGCAGAACCACGCCCAGGAGGGTCCAGGATATGAACAGCAAGCCAGTGACAGAGTATAAGTTGCAAGAGTTCCATCACCCTAATGGCTTGGGTACCATGCCCTCCCTGAAGGCACTTCCTCTTTCATTTGAAGCAGGAAGTGGGGAGGCTTTCCTGTGATGTCCCTTGCACCAAGTGTAGGCCTTCAAGAAGTTGGGTACTTGAGTTGCTGCTCTTTTGTCCCATTTCTTAGTAGGGTGTCACCAACTTTTCGGGTGAGGCAGTTCTTTACTGCGTGGGACTGTCCTATTCAATGTAGGATGCTTACCATTCTTGGACCCTGACACCAGCAGTGTCCATATGAGACTAAAACATCCCCATACACCTCCAAAAGGCCCCTGGAGGAAGTGGTACCCACCCCTGGCTGAGAATCTGAGAAAGGAGAGTAAATAAAGAAGCTCTGGGATTTGGGAATGGCTGGCGGCATTGAGTGTGGGTATCTGAATAATGTTTATATCAGGGCAGCTTAAGGATATGCTTGTCTATTTCAAGACAGTTCCTAAGGAGATGTGTTCAGAATATATCACAGGCATAAATGGATTCTTATATTTGATTTTCCCAAGTAACCCAATTGTCACCACATTGCCTTTGTCCCAGATGCTTTTTCTGAAATCGGTTTGTTGCTCTGCATTAGCCCTGCCAGGGTAGAGCTTTGGTGGAGTCCTTGAGGTTAGCACTGTCTTAATATACTGGGAATTTAAGCAGAGCTGGGTCCTCTAAATCAATCACCAGAACAGCTTTAGTTGTTTTTTTTTTCTTGCTCAAAAATGCACTATTAAATGCAGACACACGTGTGGGAGTGGAGGTTGGCTTGAGTGAAGGACACATTTTAAAAGAGAAATTTTGTAACATTTTTTTCCTGCAGGAAAAAGGACTTGCTGGTCTTGCTTCTTGTACAACTGGGCTACAGAATAGATTTGCATCTCCTTCTATCAGTGTCTCTTCTGCCACCAAGCAGCATTTTTAGCATCCTTGGAATACGCTGGGTTGTTCAGAAGTCACCTAATCATATTTTCCTGGGGCATTCCAGGTGTTTAACAAATATGTGTTGAACAAAGGAATAACTAGGTTAATGGAAAATTAAAGCTTTTTAAGTGGTGATTACAAAATGGAATGAGCCAGTGTTCATCTTCTTGCCCCCTCTGGGGTCTTCTAGGGTGGCAAGGTTCACCCTATCCTTGGGACCTGAGGACAGTTGAATCCAAGAGAGCATTTCATCCCTCATAATGAGTGCCTTGGTTGTGGAATGTCTGGGAGGACATGGCAGTGAGAAAACTTCTATCTGAGGAAGCGAATGAGGAAGTGGAGCCAGCGAGTATAGACTTCTTTTGCTTAGAATTTGCTGTGAAGGGATGGGGGTCCTGGCCATCAGAAGGGATGTGGGGTTGAAAGGAGGTGTGCATTTGGATTTGCTTTTTAAGGAAAGCAATAAGGGAACATATTTTGCAACTGAAGGGAAGAAACAAGTAGAGAGAGAGATCTGATATATTTAGGGGGACAATTAACAAAGCAATATCCCTGGGGGTGGGGACAGGGCGAGAAGAGGTGGGGTGGTCCTGGACGACAGGAAATGAACTTCTGCTGAGGTCCAGGAGGAACAAGTTTGCAGGCTGTCTTGCAACTGAAGGGGATAGTTTGCAGCATAAGGGGATCTGGGTATGTGAGAGAATAGAGAAGGTTTAGAAACCCTGCAGAGTGAAAGTGGCTCAGCTGCTAAGCAGGTACCCAAAGAAGTAATACTAGGTTGTGTTGAAGTACCTGGTTGAGGTTAAAGATCATGAGTTTGTGGTGGATTTAATTTACTCAGTTCCGTGAATTTTCTCTGGTAGTGCTAGCATCCAGGGAACAGGTGTGGAGAAGGTGAACGAGGCTATAGAGGTGGAGTTTACAGGGTGTAAAAGGCAGAAAAAGTAAGGAATTTAAAAACTGAAACTGCTAGCAAGAGTGTCATTATTGAAAATTGGGTGCAGCCTTTCTAGGGAGAGGTCAGGAAAGAGTGGTAAGTATAGAAGGAAAGAAAGAAAATTATTATTTCAAAGGCCTCAATTAGGTTGATGAGCAGGCATTGGGAAGTAAGAGAGTCGGTAATCAAGATTAATAGGTGTGTCATTTTGTGTTGCTATCACCTGAGGCTAAGAAATTAATAATGAACAGAAATGTATCAGCTCATAGCTATGGAAGCTGGGAAGGCCAATATCAAGGGGCCAGCATCTGGTGAGGGCCTTCTTGCTGTGTCATCCCATGGTGGAAGAGTGGAAAGAAGGGCTCAAGAGGGGACTAAACTTGTCCTTTTATAAGGAACCCACTCCCTCGATAATGACATTAATCTATTCATAAAGGCAGTGCCCCAATGACCCAAACACCTTCCATTAGGCCCCACCTCCCAACACCACCACATTGAGGATCAAGTTTTCAACATGTGAACTTTGTGGGGCACAGTCAAATCACAGCAAGGTGATTGGGCAGAAGTAGGGCAATGGAGGATTAGACTTCACAGGTAAAGTAGTTTGGGGCACTAAGAGCTGGGGTCTAGGTGTGGGTGGGCTAAAGTGGAACACAGCACACCACCCCAGAATTGAGGCCACAGTGCAATGTGAATGCTGCCCAGTGTGATGTAGAGGAAGCTGTGAGCCTAGTGCCAAAGACCCTGATGGACATAGCTGACTGCCTGGCACTTAAGTGAGAACAACAACATGGACAGAGGGCAATGGTGTGTGATGTCTGATTCTTACGGAGGAGGTGTTTTTTATACTAGGATGGAAGAGTGTACGTGTAGAAGAGGCACCAGGGGAGAGGAGAATGTCAGCTCCACCTTGAATCCCGATTAGAGACTCAGCACATTCAAAAACACACGAATAATAGCATCCTCCAGGAAGAGCCTTGTTTGGTGGGAAAGGAAAGGTTTGTTTTGTTGGAAAGAGCCACCCTGGAATGATACTGTGGGTTTGATAAGAGGCTTCAGAAGGCTCAAGAAAAGGATTAGGAGGGAGGGCAAGGAAGGGGGGAAGGTCAACTGGGGAAGAAGCACAGAGCATATCAGGGGTGGAGTGAGGATAAGAAACCCCCACAAAGACAACAAAAATTAAAACTCATGTAGGGACACATTTAGTGAACTGCCTTTATTGAAAGTAACATATCTTCATGAAAATAGACAATGAAATGAATATCTGAGACTGGTGTCATCCAGGAAATCTGTGCTATGTGATTTCCACCATCAAACTACATGACGAGGATCTTCCTGCCAGGCCAGGAAATGGTGAGTAGAGTGGTATATGGAGATAGAATCATTGAAGATTTTTCTGCCAGGGAGTCTTCATGATCCATCTTCCACCGGAGTTTCCTCTAAGGTAACTCTTGTGGCTAAGGTAAAGCCACAAGGAAGTTCCATATGAACTGGGAGTATTAGAGAAAGTGGGTATCAGAATCAGATTGAGAGAAACCACATCTCCTTGTAATGCAGCCACTGTTGTCACCCTTGGCCCCCAGCTTTTGTGCTCAGGACAAAGCGCCCGCTTCCAAAACTCTGTCTGTCCTCATGGCAACTGAATTTTGTTCCCATCACATTGCTCCTGTATTTCATGCTACATTCTGTCCAGGACCATCAGGGCTATATGGAGTTTCCACTGTGCCAAAGGAAGTGATCAGCATCCCAGCTGCCATGAAGAAAAGAGGGCTGGGTAGTAGTGACCTTGGGAGGTCAAGGATGCCTTCCTAAAGAACTGCTTCGGGACCTTAAAGGAAGAAAGAGTGGGATGTGTGCCAGCAAAAGCAGAGAACAGTTCAAAAGTGGGGGCCACATGTGGAAAGGGGTAGCATCAGAACCTTTCCTTCTTTCCTCTTGAAGAAGCAGGGCATTGTGGTGGTTGAGGTGGGCTTTAGGGCCAGATGACTTGAATTCGGATCCCAGCTCTGCCAGTTTTCCTGTTTGATAGCAAATTGTTGCTATCCAATAATTTACCTCTGTTTCATTCTTTTTTCTCATCTAAAAGTGGACATGCCCTCATCTCTTCCCCAGGGTTATTTTGAAGATTTAAATAAGTATGTATAAAGCATTTAGCATTCCTGACATATAGTGTGAACTCATTAAATTGGAAATATCATTATAATAATTTTTGTCCATCAGGAGGGGATAAAAAGGAATGCAATTTGCTGAACACCTACCTTGTATGCCATATACTTTACAAACACCTGTAAAAATGAGGTACCTGTATCAGAACACTTTACCATATAACAAACTACCCCCAAAATTTAGTAGATTGAGACACATCTATTTTTTTTCTGAGAGCAGGCAATTTGGGCTAGGCTAGACTGGCCCTATCTCCTGCTGGTCTCAGCTGAGTTGACTCAGGCATCTGTGGTCAACTGCTGGTCAGCTAGTTGACTCTGTTTCTGGAGACCGGCTGACAGTCAGCTGGAGTGAGGGGCTTCTGGGCCATGTGTGTGTTATCTCACAGACTAGGCCAGGCTTCTATACATGGTGGTAGGCACAGGGCAGCAAGAGAAGGCTTGAGTTCTCAAGCCTCACCATGCATGATTGCTCATCAGGTCTATGCTTGTATTACATCGGTGATGCACATTTCATTGGCCCAAAGTAAGACACAGCACAGCCCAGACTCAATAAAGGGAGAAATGAAGTGAAGGGAAGAGCTGCGCAGTCACATTGCAAAGTAGTTTGTATGCAAGGATGGGAAAAATCTGTGGCCATTTGTATAACACATCACAATGCCTCATCATGTTCACTTTGTATTGTTTTATTCATTTGTTCACTCATTCAGAAATATTGAGTGCCCATCTTGTGATATGGCAAGAAAAGGGATCCCCAATATGAATGGCCTTAGTTTTGTAATACTTTCTCTGTCATAGCACAATCCATCTGGCATTGCTATCTGAGGTCTGTAACATCCAATAAAGACATGAGCTGGAGGAAAGCAGGTCATATTTTCCCCAGGGACAAGGAAAATGGAGATGGAGATGGTGTTGGATCAAGTGAAATCGAGAGATTTATATCTGCAGATTAAAATCAGCCACCATTATTTTAGCCACATGAATGCCATTTTTTTTTCTGGGTTAACATCTCCCTACTGGATCTTAACCTGCATATTTTATTGCTATGTTCTTTCCTACATCCTTCTGATCACCAAGATTGCTATTGAGTCCAGATCCCACATTGACCGTATGTCATCTGTGCATACTCACGCATGTGCACGCACACACACACAGAGATACACACATACATACATACATACACACACACACACACACACACATTCCACCACTCTCACTGGGAATATTCTAAGCTCTCCTTAATGCTGTGCAAAATAACTATTGTATGCCAAAAAGGTATTGAGCCTCCTCATTTCTCAGGAGAACCAGGTAAGGTCTAGACATGGCATAGACTATGTCCTAGGGAGAGACCCCATTCTATCCAAGTCATTAATCCTCTGGGCTATATGGAGAGTGATGTCCAAGGCCCAAAACTGGCCAGAGAGCAGCTTAGAGGAGTTTTGGAGTAAGGGATATGAGGCAGGCACCAGGGAGTGCACCTGCATGAATTTCTGGATTCCATATGCCCCTGGAATAATCTATTAACACATTGATTCAACTAATATGTTTTGAGTGTATATCATGTAACAAACAGGAGGTTCATTAATAGAGACAGAAGGGTGAGCAAGACAAACATGGTGTCTGCCCTCAGGGAACCTGGAATCTAAAGGGGGTGACTGCTGTTATGGTAGCATCCCTGACAGCTAACACTGAGCACAAATCCTTCCATGTAATTCTGCCAACATCCTCGGAGGCTGGCAGTATTCTTAGCCTGTTTCCACTGATAAGTAAATTGAGGGGATGAATGGCTGTGTAAACTGTCTCTAGTCACACAGCTCAAGGGTAGTGGGGGCAGGGACTTGAGTCGAGGCAGTTTGGATCCAGAGTCAGTCTTTCTTGAATCAACCCTCTCCTCCGGAGTCCCACATTGGATCAAGTCTCATTGGTATCTATGTTCAAAGTTTCTTGTACTTTTCCTTAAGAGCATGCATCACATTTAGAAGTTCTATTTTGGTGTGATTATTGGGGGAGGGAGCTGTCCGTCAGTTCAATCTGTCTTATGCTC